ATATATATATATATATACATATACTAATTTTTAAAGTATCAAATTGAATTTATGTTCAATAAAAATCTTTCAAATGCGACTGTAGCTTTTTTTTTTCTCAAAACTTTTGTCTTCAAAATAAGGGTGCGTCTTATATTCCGAAAAATACGGTATATGAAACCTTTAATTTAGGATTTGTAAGACTATTTGAGATCTATATCTATATAAAAGCTATACGTTGATATATTTCATATGTAATTTATAATAACTCGGATGGTTGCATCCACTGACAACAAAGGAAATTTGGGTTCCTGTCACTGGCTTTATATCATCATCACTCTCTGGGGTTTTGAGCTTATGCCACTTAGGAAAATAATTTATGAGTTACAACAAAAATATTCCCAGTAATTTCGATGCGCAGTATAAACTCACCCTGACGCACCTTTATAAACGAAAAATGGTACAACATCTTTCCATTATCAAGTCATTTTAGGATAAAAGAAGGCAAAGGCATGCATGTAGACACATCAAAAAATCAGTTATGCGGAAGACCGTGAATACAGAATCCATTACCAGGAGGTTTTTTAAAGTATGATATGCTCTGACGAGCGTTTTTTTATCAGTCATTGTAACGCACCAGTTACGATGGTGTTTTATGATATATATACATACATGTGTTGAGGAACCATAAATGAGATATCAGCCAGAGCGTGGAATGCACACGATTGGAATTCTTCATAGCTTTTTACATGATGCAAAATTCCAAGATAAATTTTATGGATCTAGCAAACTCATGAAAGCAGTTTATATTTACAACAGAAGAACCATTCAGTTCTCTTATACTTCTGTTCAGAGAGAGACGGTGGCACGGATTGTTTTTTTTCACATATGTATGAATAAAAGATTAATGCTTCAAGGAAAATTATATAAGTTTTCTGATTAATAAGTTAATAACTGTATTACTGTAGAAAATACTACCATGACAACTATCTAAGGAATTATCACAGTCATAAATAAAGTTTTCAACAAGAGTGAATCAGAATCATTGATCAGACTTCCAAAAACCTAAGAAAACGACAACGTTTCTGTAAAATATCTTTAAAATACAACATTTCTGTAAAATATCTTTAAAATACAACGTTTCTGTAAAATATCTTTGAAATACAACGTTTCTGTAAAATATCTTTTAAATACAACTTTTCTGTAAAATATCTTTAAAGTACAACATTTCTGTAAAATAGCTTGAAAATACAACGTTTCTGTAAAATATCTTTAAAATACAACATTTCTGTAACAACGTTCCTGTAAAATATTTTTAAAATGCAACATTTCTGTAAAATATCTTTAAAATAAAACGTTCCTGTAAAATATCTTTAAAATACAACATTTCTGTAAAATATCTTTGAAATGCAACGTTTCTGTAAAATATCTTTAAAATACAATGTTTATGTATATGTTTGTAATATATATATATAGCTACTATATTTATACCCTGTAGCTATATTGGGACTTTTATACCCACAGGCACGTGCAATACATATTGGCTAGTATTTATATATATATACATGTATATACATGCAGGCTTTATAGTTTTTTAAGTTGAAAAACCATATGTATGGATATCCATATGGATTTTTCAAGTTATATAGATGAATGCATATATAGTGAATGCAATATAAGAAAAGATGTCATAATATAATAGCATATGTATACAAATAAACATTTTAAAATGTTTTTATAGTTGTTATATTTCCCCCTTCCTCTTCCTTCTCTCCGCTGACCATAGTAAGGCCGGTCAGGGTTTTCCAGCAACTGGCCAGGTTTTCTATTAGAGTGACATTCTGTACACTCTACAAGGTTGGAAACGTGTTAATTAACAATTATGGATTGATTATATTAATATACATTCCCCTCTATTGCTGATGGAATTTGGGTCATGACACTTCTATGACCCTCTTCCACTGTGATGACCCTAAACTCTGGCGGGCCGTCATTGCTGCATACTTTATCTTAAACCAATTGCTTTCTAGATAAATTATATAGCTAAAATATTTCTTTCTTACTTTCGCCAAGAATCGCCATCATTTTCGCCATCTCCTGCTTGCAAGGTTTTTACATATTTTTGCTACTCTTTCTGCAATATCTATAAAATTCGCAATCAGCCAGTGTGAGCTATAATTCGACACTTACAATCGGCAATCACGATGATTGCCGATCCGATGCTCGAAACTGAGCTTGCTGTAGTCTTTTAAACTACGGCTTAACGATGTCTGTTGTGGGAGACTAGCTGATACAGTCTTGATGATTTACTGTAGCTATTGACTATTTGATCGCATTAGTTTAAGCTGCAGCTGGAGATTGTCATGGAGATTCGTTTGAGAGTATAGTAAGCATTTATAGTTTCTGTGTAACTAAATCATCTCTATATATAATGCATAGCAATGGACATATATATGCTTAGACTAAGACACAACCACCAATAAGCGTGTATAACATTTTACCAGTGGAAAAGCAGTTTTTTTTCAAATAAAACATATACGTTTAAAACATCGCTTTAAATACACCTTCGTGTCTGTTAAAGGAATTATTTTATGACGGTGTTTAATAAAATTTTATATTATGTATATATTTTTTACTCCTTCACTTCATACATAATATAGGGGTTGGCTCCCTAAAGACACCGATTGTATAGTGTACAAAGCATTGAGTATATACATGTTACAGTCATCTAATGTTTATCTATTACTGGCTGTAAATTCCTGTTTCACTATGTTCTTAGAGTTTTTAAAAGAAACACAAGAAAACTAACTTCAAAGGGTAATGATAACATCGTTTTCACTAGAATTATGATTTTTTAGCATATGAAGAATATAGAAGTAGCTTTAAGATATTCTACGCAATGCGCAGTGATACGTTTAGTAATACTGCCAAGGTGTGATTGTAATACTCGCACCCGTTTTTGCTGTAGGCTGGCGAAACACTAATAATAATATAAAGAACAAATGGGCGATCCCTATTATGAGCCACTACTGTCTTCTTGTCTTTGTAGAGAACGCTGGTGAGATTGGTTTTGATACTTTTTAGGAAAACAGATTAAGCAAGCATTATAAGTTGTGTAAATGAGGGTGTATAAATGTATTGGCTGTACTTGATCATATAGTATGTTGTTTCATTGTTTTCAGATTGAACCTTGGGTTTAAACCATTAATGTCCGAGAAGTGTTTGTTATGATTGAGAAGGAGAAGAGTTAGAGTCTGTTGTAGTAGTCACTCAAACGTGTGATCAAACTTTTAATATACTTTCATGAGACAACTGTACTATAAATTAAGCGCATGTGAGGTGCGAAACTTGGATACCGTTTGATTCAAACCATAAATTTGGTCAGATATTACATAGTTAATGAAAAAAATCATTGTCAACGAAATGTCTTTGGTATAAACATGGGGAACATCTGGTAAACTGAATGACTAACCATGAGAATCGTTTTAGAGATTGTATCAATGTGGCGTACGATCAGGTCAACGATAAGTTTACTTAACAAGGCAGGGTTTAGTTAAC